GGAAGGAAGGTTGGGCAATCCTACTTCCATAGTGATACTGCCTCGGAAACCCAAGGAGGGGTCGCTAATGTAAAGCAATTAGCAACTCAACGGCACATAACAACAACAACAACAGATTCATATAATGAGATGATGCAGAATGTGTTCGTTGGTGTCCAACTTCTTTGGCCTGACACAGTGTTTTTGAGGTTCATTCATGTTGTTGTGTGCATAAGCATTCCTCTTTATATTGAATATACCAACAGCATAATATAAATATAGCAGTGTTTGCTTAACCATTTATCTTTTGGACACCTGGGCTGTTCCTCACTTTTGGCTACTCTGAATAAAGCTGTTATGATTATTATTTAATGTAGGAATGGAATTTCTGGGTCACAGGGTAGATGTATGTTTAACTTTAATAAGATCTGCCAGACAGTTTTCTGAAGTACCACGCTATACTCTTACCAATGACGTATGACCACTCCCAGTTGTTCAATATCCTAGCCAACCCTTGATATTGTCATTCATTTTTTCATTGTAGCCATTCTAGTAAGCATAAAGTTACTCATTGTGATTTTCATTTTTCTGATGATTGATAATGAGCAACTTCTCATATGTTTACTGAACACACATATACCTGTTTCTGTGAAATATTTTTTCAAGTGTTGGCCCATTTTTATTGTTTTCTAAGTTTCTTAATGATTTGTAGTAGCTGTTTATATATTCTGAATACGAGTCATTTGCTAGATATATGTAGTGAAAATGTTTTATCTGATTTTTTTTACTTCCATTTTTATTTTCTTACATAGCATATGATAAAAAGAAATTTTTCATTTTAATTAAGTCCAAACAATCAATTTTATTCATGATCAGTACTTTGTTTTATAGATAACAGCTTTTAATTTCAGGTCTATGATCCAACACAAGTAATAATTTTGTATGGTATGAATAGAGATTAAGGTTTATATTCTCCTCTTATAGATAGCCAGTGGTTCCAACATTATTTCTTTAAAAGTCATTATTTTCTGAATTAAATTGCTTTGACAACTTTTTCAAAAGTCAATCAGTGCTCTTATGTGTGAATGTGTTTCTGGATTCTCTTGTTTCAGTAATCTATTTGTCTATCCTATGTCAATACTATACTATCTTGATAGCTTTATAATAAGTCTTACAATGAAGTATTGCAAGTCTGCCAACACTGTACTTTCCACAGTGATTGAGGCTATTAGGATCTTTGCCTTCCCATATAAATTTTAGATTCAATATGCTAATTTATACAAAAATTAGTACTAGTTTTGATTGTATGATTTTTATTTCTTTTTCTTGTCCTATTCCACTGACTAAGACTCCAACAGGAGCTCTGGTGGCATAATGCCTAAGGCTAACTAGACTGCTAATCAGAAGGCTAGTGGTTATATCCACCAGCCACTGCTCAGAAGGAAGGTAGGGTAATCTACTTCCATAGTGATACCACCTCGGAAATCCAAGGAGAGTCACTATGAGTCAGATCCATCTCAACAGCAGTGATTTTTTTTTTTTTTTTTTAAGACTCCAACACATAGAAGTGGTAAAGAGTCATGTCTGATCTTACAAGGAAAGCATTCAGCCTTTCATCATTAAGTATTACTTAACTGTAGGTTTTTCATAGATGTCCCTTATCAGGTTGAGAATATAACCTTATACTCCTAGTTATTGAAAGTTTTTATCCGAAATTGTATTGTATTTGGTCAAATAATTTATCTAAATATTCTTAGGTAATTATATTATTTTTCTTTATTCTTTAATTCAGTGAATTACATTGACTTATTTTTAAATGTTAAACCACCTTGCATTCATTATAATGTTTATATATTGCTGGATTTGCTTTGTTAATATTTTGATAAGGATATTTATGTATGTTCATGAAAGCTATTGGTCTTGTGATTTCCCTTGTAATTTCTTATCAGGTATACTAGGATTTTATTTGCTTCATAAAATATGTTGAAAAGTATTCCTTTCTACTCCAGTTCTGAAAGTGTTCATATAAGATTTGTTTTATTATTCCTCAAATGTTTGATAGAAACCCCAGGAGAGACATTTGGACTTGATTTCCTTGGTACTTTTATTTCAAATTCCATTTTTAATAGATATAGGTCTATTCAGATTTTCTATTTTCTAGCAATCTTTACATTTCCTCTAATTTGCCAAAATTACTGGCATAAAATTATTCAAAATATCCCCCTGATTATCCTTTCAAGTCTGTAGGATCTGTAGTGATAGCACCTCTTTTATTTCTGATATTGGTATTTGTATGTATTCTCTGCTTTGTCCTGTTCTGTCATGCTGGATGAGGGGGAGTTAATTTTAATAATTTTTAAAGGATCAAATTTTTACTTTGTTGAGTTTTCTCTATTATCTCCTTTTTTTTTTTTTTTTTTTCCATTGATTCTGCTCATATCTTTGGGCATAGGGCATCCTGTTTCTAGTTTCTTATGGTGGAAATTCAGATCATTTATTATAAAGTTTTCTTTTTTCTAACATAAGAATTTATACATACCTAGCCACCATTACTGAACATCTTCATCAAAGATGCTATAGAGGAATTTTGAACAAAAGGGGGAAAACACAGAACAGAATTTCAAATGGTTTTGGACTCCAGACTTTCTGGAGCCATGAAGGCTGGATGAACCACTGAAACTATTGGCTTGAGATAATTTTTAAACCTTAACCAAAAATACCTTCTGAAGTCTTCTTAAAACCAAACAATAGAGGCGGG